TTGTCCAACTTGCGTCCAATGTGTTTCACTGATCCCAAGCACCTCTAAGTTGTATCTCCTCATTTCTGCAGCAATTTGGAAAACTCTCCCAGTCTCCCACATTGTGCGAGCATTCCATGTACCTAAATAAGTGGTTGCTCTGGTTGTCAGAAGGGGCATCGGCCTCGTGACTTCCGAAGAAACTCGGCTTTCATCGTGAGGCGTCATAATTCTTCTAAACGAAGACCTTCTGACTCCCAGGGCAGAGTTTAAATGGTTTGAATAATTCTTTCTGGTTAGCGTTTTTTTAGCGAGTTAGTTTTCTACGGGATGGGGTCGCTAACCCCATGCCCAACCCTCCTCCTTTATCCGGGCTTGGGACCGGCAGTAGCCCCCGGAAAGGAGCTTCAGGCGGAGTTTCCGAATAACCTAAGGTTAAATAATATTAGTACAGGGTTACGAAGATTATTGAATTTTTTTGAAATCGTAAACTGATCTAAGTTAGATCATCATCGAAAGTATAAAGAAACTGAGCCGCCGTTTCTTCCTAGTACGAGATTCATCAACAGTGCATATCTACGATCCGTTCGGTCTCATGCGCGGACACAGACGATTGACCAATGAGCCGGCACCTAACAGTGTTAATGACTAACTCTAAGCAATCCATGATATTGTCTGACCATGTTCTATTGTTTTTTGTGAATAAATGCTTCACACCCGACACGGTTTAGCTTCATTGTTCTAAACCTCCAGTAAATTATTTTTAATATTTTATTGGATATAGTACAAGCAGAGATAAACGTTTTTTTTTAGAATATTGTTATACATACGACTTTATTAAGCTTATAAATAACAAAGGCGATTAGACTAGGAATTAAAGTTTGATTTACCTGATGTTAATGTCATTTTAAAGAACCCATCACACTCAATATGAATTCACAACATAACTTGCATTATTATGGTGTTTTTTTTTTAACTTAGCATCTACTTATAAAACTTTTCATACTGAATGCTAATACATGGTGTTAATCATTTCAGACCAGAGCAACTTACAAGGCAGTTAGTACTATGATTCAACTCTAACTTTTAAAGTTAAAATATCAGCTCAGTAGTGGAAAGAAACGTTAATGTAACAAATCAATACGATGCAAATAGATTTCAGTTATACTTTTACTACATCATCAATATATCCTAACCCAAGCTTTAAACTACTGAAAGGATAACAGGAAATCAAAGGTTTTAGTTCCAGATTTAACAGATGGGGATATATGGGAAAAACTGAGTATTTATACATTTTGTTTTAGTAAATACCCATTAGTACTTTTCATGTATGATGAGAGTTTTATGGTATGAAATTTCGAAATCGTTAACGTTAAAATGTAATTTTTATCTATTTCGAGTTTAAATTTTTGAGAAATATTATATTTCCTAACAGTTAATATCACAGAGACCATAGATAACCATTACGAAGACCGAACATGCTAAACCTCTGTTTTCTTCATTCAGTATAAATCTATGCAGCAGTGGACATCTATGACACAGTCATTTCTGGGACCTAGGAATTTCTGGCCTTATAATGAACACTACAGTTAAACCATTAAATTGTCATCCGTTAACTAACATGTCATGTGGTTAGAGATATTAAACAGTAGGCTCTAGATTTAGGTTTATTTTAAAGTTAACATCATTCAGCAAGACATGTCTGTAACCTTATACGAACTGATGCCATCTGTAAGACTATGACTCAATATTACCCATCTTTTTGTAATCTATAATATTCACCACTGAACATTTAGGTTTATCTGTCATAAGATTGCAGTTACATCTTTATAATCAATGTTAGCTGACAGAAAACCTACACTCAGTATTTCTAACTAACTACTTTCAATCAATTCATAATAAACAGTTAATCCATTATCAAATCCTTTAAACTATTCGTTGTATTAACCTAAGTTTTAACCTGTATTTCACTCAATATAAGTAATAATATTGACAATAAACATACTTGTATCACATAGAAAATTAATTACAAATTGTCTTACAAACGAGCATGAATGATTGTTTGCATTATTCGTTCAATTTTCATACTTTATAAAACATTTATAATAGAATATATATTATAACCCATTTTGTTTTTGATTCATTTCTATTTTGTGCTCTATTTGTCAGCCAGATCTATTTAATATTTAATACAAATTAGTTTATTGTGTCTGTCTGTCTATCCGTCTATCCCTTTGTATATTTACACATATTTATATAGGGAGTATAGCGCACATCAAGAAAAAAATGTTTATAATATTCGCTTCATGTGAAATTTATTTGTCCCCCCACCCACCCACATATTTCTAAAAAAAAATACCAGAATTATAATCATTCCTTTTAACATCAACTGTTACATTTAATTCCCCACCCCCACCCCATAGATATGTACACATATCATATGTACTAGCAGGTTTATACACGTGTATATATATATATACATATGTGTATATAACTCCCTGTGTGAATAGATAGATGATGTATGGTGGTATAAAATACACTAAGGGGTTCTTTTCTTTTCATGGGAGATTCTATTTACAATTTATTATAATTAATAATGTAATACAGAAAAGTTCAATAAATTATTCTTGCTTTTTCCTCTATTTTATAGAAAAAAAATAATAAACTGCATAATAATAAATGTCCTAAAGATTATTTATGTATACACATAATATATCATTTTTTAAAAATTTCTATACGTGATGTGATTTACACATCTTATTAATTAATATATACCATCTATATAGGGTTGTAGAGATTATTAAGTTATTAATGGAGATCATGAACTGATTGGTGTTAGACCAACATTGAAAACCTGGAAGCACTGGACGGCCGTTTTGTCCTATTGTGAGAGTTCCCGTCAGAGTGCATCTACAATCCCGCTCTCGGAATTCGAACCCAGGGCCTTCAGTTTTGCGCAACTAACTTTCAAACTAATAGATCACTGAGCTGGCCGGGATCGTGGATACGCACTGCTGAGGAGTCCCACAATGGGACGAAACAGTCATCCAGTGCTTTCAGGTTTTCAATGGTAGTTTAACATCAATAGGTTCATGATCCCAACCAAGAATGTATACCATGTTACATTCATTTTTGTGGATTCATAAAAAATTTATAATTAAGTGTAAAATTTACAATCAGTATATAAAATTATTGAAAAAAATAATACCTATAAACATTTGTTGAAATTTTCCTTTTACATTAGGAAAGACCTGTTGTTGATTGTGGTTTATCGATCTCTGTTGTTGTATATGGATCATGAATGGGTTGGTTTGAAATACTGTTATGTTACATGTTTTAGTAATATTTAGTAGATGGTTATCAGTGAAATCCATGACATGACTTTTATCCTATTTACGACTGACTTTACCTACGTCCAAATGTTGATTTTGACACTGGGACTCGAACCCAGTACCTATTAGTTCAAACGTCAACATATCAAATGAACTGCTTACTGCAGATAACCAACAACTTGTTCAACTGGTTTGAAACTATTAATGAGTGTTTATAACTTCCTGTTATCGGTATTCAATGAATACCTTGTTGAGCTTGGTTTACGTCACAGTCTATGATTCAGATAAATTCAGCTGGCGAATTCCATGTAGGAAGAAACCAGTGTCCTGGATCCTACTGTTATCCACATACCATATACACTAACTATTAATGTGAGTCTAAGTGAACTTAAATAGATGGTTTATTATTATTATTACTATTATCATTATGAGATTAAAACTATCTTGATATGTTGACGTATAATTTTCCATAAGGGCTCAATCGTGTGATGTATTAGTATACTAACCAAGATGTGAATATTTCGCCCAGGTAGTTCAAATGTATCATTGTCATTGTCAGATTTAAAAGTTTATTATTTAATCCCAAAGAGATTTTGTAGAGCTTGAGGCTTCTGAAGAGTGGGAACCAGGACGAAACAATAGCTGTACTGATGTTAGGCACTTATGGTAACTGCCTTATAATAATTGCAACATAGTTCTAATATGTTTCACAAAATGTAAACTACGCTACAGCTCACATTAATTAATCATTCTGAACTGATTTCACATTACTTATTCTCGGATGGTGATCATATACTAAAGATAGTAACTATAAAATTATCCCAAATGATGATAATGCTAATATTGTATTGCAAAGTAAATGAAACAACAAATATGTATTATACAATTTTGTCAGCGGTAAATCCAAGACACAGGATTAATCCAGAAAGTAATTCAATGTTGAATTGAGTCATTTCAGTAGGAGTAGATTATCTGGTTGGGGATCGACGTACCTATTGTAACCAATGGTTGGGATCATTAAGTGATACTGTCGTCATTTCATCACAATGTGTTATTATGGTTTTACATATTGAGTCGATGCATTTAAGTTTCAGATTCTGACCGTCAAAAGTTATCAGGAATGCCAATAAGACCTTGAAATTCTGATTCCAATGCAAAAAGATGTTTTAATTGAACACGTTCTTCACATAGAATAATTTTTTAGAAATCACCAATGTATACGTTAGTTATGTATGCGAATGAGCACACATATCAACATATTCATATTTCTTCATATATTATCGAACACAAATAAAACTTGCTTACAAATACTTAGTTAAAGGTATTTGAAAGGTGACCCTGAACATGTAGATTGTCATATCGATATCACTTGTCAACAAAGTGTAGATGTAGTTTTAAGAGAACTAATACTTTCTGGTCGATTCGAACCTATTTCATCCGGCTACATAGTTTAAGACATCACTACAGAGCTATTCAGACAATAACTAATCTACTTCAGGATTAAGATAATTACAAGTGATAAATCACTGAGTAGAGAGTGACCAATACAATACTCATCTAGTCTTATTTTACGATAATCAATTTCTATCGATCAGTTCATTTATTAATAAAGGAACATTTTCTAATCAAATAAATAGCTACCTGACTTATATACTACTTGTAGGTGTTTTTTCCGAAAAAGAAGTAGTATAGTATAATACAAATTTTATTATTGAAATTTTTGTTTATTTAATCACAATTTAAAAATAGAAAATTATCAATATTAAAAGATTAGCAACTATTTTGAAAATATTAAAGTTTTGTACTTAATGTGTGTGTGTGAGTGTGTCGGTGGGTGGGTGGTTGGTTTGTTGAAACAGAACGCGAATGGTTTTTTATTAGAAGAATAATATACTCTTCATAATCATATGTTTGAACACATAGAGAGAATAATATTGTGTTATGAACAGGGAATACATAAAATGTAATGAGTATTGTCACCTATTATCAGCCAAAAAACGAAATAAAGAAATAAACGACCAATCGGCTAAAAAGGCAGATTGTTTGTTTTATTTGTACAATTTCGTTCTATAAAATGAGGAGAGGAAAAAAAGGTAGAAAAGAGTCAATTACTTTTTAAATAAATTAAATTAGAGATTACAAACAATGTATAAATAGATATGTATTTATGTCAGATAATTGAGTATGGATGATAGGTGACCCTGGTCAATGTAGATTTTATGCTAATTGTTATTTATTAATGACTGACATTAACACCGTTGAATGCCGGCTCAGTGGTCTAGTTGGTTAACCGTCTGGCGCGAGAATGATAGATCCTGGGTTCGATTCTCGTGACGGGGGTGGGATCATGGATGCACACTCTTGAGGAGTCCCATCCATGTTTTCCATAGTGGTCTAGCTTCAGTTGACTCATGATCTCAACTATTGAAATTACTAAAATCTCCACAAAACCCGTTTTGATATTATTTATTGGTGAAGTATGCTTATAACCTCAAAGGGGGTCAATGTTATCTGGTAGATTTCAAAACATACTATTGTCTACTACACAGTGAATAATGAATATAAATATTGATATCATAAAGTTAGAAATATACTTAGGTGGTTATGTGATATGATTCATACCTTAATAATATCCATGATAATTACTCGTTAGAAGAGAATATACGATCCATGACTATAGAGGGGATTGTGTAGATTGTTGAGTTTTATAGTTTAAATCACCGTCTGATTTTTAGCCAGATAATTAATAAAGGCAATGTAGTGTTGCATGGTACTGTCTTAGTACAGAACCCACATCAATGCACATTCATGACCCTAAAAGTTATGAATCTAGGTCCGTTTATAATATAGATTATGAAACCGACTATTTATGTTCGATTTGTTATTTCTTTGTATCCAGATAAAAACATAAAACAAGCTAGATGTATATAGAATGTATTTATAAACCTTACTAGCACGATGAAATATATTCCCATTGGTGTTTAGTATCATAATTGATCAGTCTCTTTTGGCAGATGTGCATCCTATGTGGATTGCTTTGATGTTGCTATTAATTTAAGCAGAGGTGGATGGTAGCTAATAATGGAATCGGGGACGCACGTTTCGTCTTATTTGTGAATCATTAACTGAATGTACCTACATCTCAGAGTTGATATTCACTTCAGCATACATTTGAAGCCAGTATAATTTACATCAAGCATCATTCGCCCTTGTTTAAAATGTCTGTGAATTAATGGCGATGTCAAGGCGAGTAAGTGAGAAATACGAAATTCGATTAACTGTATTATTAATGTATAAGTTTACATATTTCTGACAGGTAATAAACAGTTGTTACTTAATATTTCTATATAGTTTTGATGGTAAGCTAGCTTTTAATGCATTCTTCTTCTCAGTTCAATTGACTATCAGTTTTGTAGTTTACACCACGAAGATGACCTTGATTAAACAAATAATAATGGTCAGCAGTTACCCATTGATGACATTGGATAATAATAACTGCTCAATATCACGAACTTGTACATGTTTATCAAATAAAACGCAAAGGATTGCCCGGGACAGGGTTGGGTGAAGAGTGCTGGTGGGCAGCCTATTCTCCTCTACGAAGAAAAGCAGGCGTAAGTAAGTATCAAATAAAACTATTAGTTATTTGATTAGTTACTTACCAAAGTTTGTTGCCATACTGTAATGAATAATATTTATGTACAAGCATATATATATACATTTGTTGAGAAAGAAGAGAATAATATGGTGGAGAAAATTTGTTGCTCAGGTGGATGATTTTTATGGAATTTAGTTCCCTGAGCTCAGGAATAATATTTGTATCACAAAATTTAGAAAAAATTTTCACTTTCAGCCAGATTTTGTTGTTGTTGCTGAATAAATGAATAATCATGAATTTGTACATAATATACAGGATTTGACAGGTTTGTTGACAGGGAACATATCTATAAATGGAAAAAGAAATTGTTAAAATTATGGATCAGAGAAATTTTAAGAATGTTATAGTATGTCTAGAATGATTATATTCAGATCAATAGTCTTATAAACATTAAACTAACCTGTAAACTCATATAGAAAAGATTATAGCTCAGATGAATGAGATATTTGGTGTGTTTTTTTTAACATGGTTGCATTCTACGGTATGGGGTTATTAACCCCATCTCCAACCTTTTTAAATTACACAGGATTGGGAATGACAGTAACCATAGGATAACTACAGTTAGATGAATAGCAACTGAAAACAACGGGAAAGGACTGTTCGGGACAGAGTTCGATGAAGAATTCTGATGGGCTGCCTATGTTCTTTCACGAGAGGTAACAGGAGTAAGTATATAAGAATGAGACAAATAAAGTCATAGAACTGATCAGTCACAGACATGGATATCCGAATGAACTGATATAATGATTATGGACTGACCGAAATATGAACATTATTGGTTTTTTTATGAAGAAAGGCGTTTTTCACATCCGAACCAACAATGAATACTTTCCAACTATACCTTCCACCTAAGAGAATTTAGTAGCATTAAATATAGACGATGTTAATAAAAAATTACCAGTTCATTTCGGTTATTAGATGATTGAAGATCTTGTTAACTAGTATTTATCAGTGAGATGAAATATCTTTAATCTTGACAAAAACAAAATTACTCGTTGGGTTACCTTTGGTTAATTTACGTTACCATTGAGCTGTTTTGATGCAAAGTCATTGAAACATTACTGAGACATCGATTTAAAGATCACATTTAGTGAACAGTAGTATATATGGAATTACTAACCCATTTAAAATTAATTACCGGTCCACGTTATGCTGACTAACAGTTTTAAGGTTATATGATGTGTAACATAGGAGTGAATAATATATACATAATTTATAACACATGTCAACAGATAAAACACTGAATTACGAACTAACTTAATTGCTTTGTGGAAATATCTTTTACCCAAAAAAAATTCATATGATCAATTTTAGAAGATGTTCAGAGAGTTAGATCAAGAGAAGTGTTGGTGAAATGCATTGAATGTTAGTAGTATCACATATATACTATGATGATTGAGAAGTCTAGAATAATATTATTCACAGTCAATATAACATTGTGATGTTTTCTTCACTTCACATACAATCAATCAACTTATCTTCATCTTATCACATATTTCCATTATGTGTTAATATGAGCACAATCATCAGGGATCTCATTTACTTTGATCTTCTCTCCAATTATACAATTTAGCATGATAATGGTGATTACAAATAGATTATAGTGATTGTGCATTAAACTTAACAACTAGCATTGGTTACAGTACCCGCATTTAATAATTATCAATTCGATCGTAAATTGTTTGTCTTCCATCACTACAAACTGTAATACAAGCAGATACTAATTTCATTATGATGACTTTTAATTCACAATCATTGATTTTAGAATTCTGTGGTGAGCTGAATAAGTGATGAGAAGAGATTGGTTGTGCATCACAAAAGAAAATAGTGTGTGTGTGTGTGTGATTCAAATGTGATTGAATAAGTTAGTTTAGTCACACAGATCTGGTGCTCAAGAAGATTTGCTGTTTCGTATATGACTTGAGATGTGGGTTAGTAGATAGATACTAAGTAGGAGAAGATTCGATGCAACAATCATCATATCAATGAGTTAATTCATACACTTGTGTTGTTTAGCCGAAAGTTGGTTAAGTGAACTGCATGTAAGTTGTGATCAAAGCAACTAGACGAGAGGGTCGGACCATTGTTTTATCGTGTCACCATTTAAATCAATATTCACTTTCTGCGGAAATATCACAGTAATTATCCTAATTTAGATTATCTTGCCTCTGAGGTTGTCTGTATTAAGTGTATGACCACTCAAACATAATGGAATGAATGGTCTGAACAAATAGATTTTACAATTTGATCACTACTGTCATGTTTGTATTATTGACTGATTTATCTCACGCCCACTGCCCTATCATTGATTATGATTTTCACTAACACTTCAACATAAAAACATAACTTGGTATCAAAACATTTCGAAATGGCATAGATCAATTCCTGTTCGATGAACCATTATGGAAGTGGAATTTGATCAGAACTTAGTCCCTATAAATTAGAATATATTCAAGGTGAACGTTTTCTAATCGAATGACACTTATACTAGAAAATTTATTTGTAATTGTTACAAGACGATATGTGTTAAATTATTTGACGACCTTCAATGTCCGCTTTCGATTGACTGATTGGTTGATTGATTGAACAGTTATGACACGTGAGAGTTGTAACTTATTTATTGATTTCAGAGAAATATATCTTAATTTGAATAAAAGAATGTCAACCCTAATATGTCACCATCGGTTAGATAACTATTGGTGGAGTATCTCGAGTGTTAAATGTTTGTCATACTAACAACTGAATAACAATTGTTGTTGGATTTGACTGGGTCACTGTTAGACATCATCATTCGAGTACTTTGGATCATCTGAACAGGAAAGTGTCTGGTTCGAACATGGTTTGTTCATAGTTTGAGTAGCACAGACCATTATGGAAAATCGCATGGATAAATGTTCTGTTTGGAATGATGAAACAATGATATGGTTATCCTCCAACTACTCACACTTACGCATCACGTACACCTGTTCATCGATTAATTACTGGTGACATGAGTATGTCACAGGAAATAAGATCACACAGTTTTTACAATATTATGAAAGCTTGAAAACAGATTCAACTTGGTTCAACACAATGCTCTTCATGACAATAAACATCAGTCGTTTTGCATTCTCAATATCGATGGTACTAATTATCCATTGTGGAACTTACAACTCTGTAAGGAGACTGATCTGAAACCAAGTTGCATCCGGTCAATTAATAACATTGGAAACGGACAATAATAATGCGTGTCAACTTACCAGTCAGTTTCATTTGCTTCAAACTAGATCTGTTCGATGTGGATGATGAACTGGGAGACACTTGTTTCTCAGAATACGAAATATTTTCCCATTCCTCAACACAATTCACACTCTTTGAACATGGAATATTGGAAGACGAATAACTTGATGATTTGTATGGAACTTCAGAGGAACGACAAGCTGAATCATTGCAAACACTGCATTTGACATGTCCATCGAGATGTGAGTTGTGTATGTGGTCAATGTCTTTCCCCTCACTTTTACTCCGTATATGTTGAGCATGCAAATACTTGGAAGTTCTACTAGATGCTATTGTGCAGTTTGATGAATTCCTACTTCGAGTACGACACACACGAAATGAATTTGTAACTGGTTGGGTGATTGGTACTGGAGATGAAATGTGATGAGATGCGTGTGACCTCTGCAATATGGACGAAGTAGATGAATTGTATTTATTTTCTGTGAATTGATAGTTTGATGATTTTGTAGTGCATTTGTGTGGTGTATTTGGTGGTACTGGATATTCCTGTTGATGTGATTGAAGTAGATAACTATCTGAATGATATCTGTTACTCAAATAAAATGTGGGTATATAATTGACTGTAGTGTCCAATTGTTCCCAATGCCATATTTGTTTATGTCTTGTGTGTTGATGTTTGTGACGATGACGATGTTGACTTTCCTGATCACTTTCATTGTTATTACATCTGATTGGATTAACAACAGGTTTCATTTGATTCAAATCAAAATCATAATTTTGACAAAACTTTTCAAGACTTTTTTGACATACCAAGTTGAATGTTTGTTGACATTGTTCATTGATAAGTGATTTTGTTTGAATTGTGTTTTTGTTGCTTTTGTTGTTGTTATCGTTATCATTTAAATTATATGAATGATTCCATAATTTATTTTCCAATGATTGAAACAAACATCTTGCTGGTTTAACTTTATTACACTCTTGTATTATTCCATTAGATTTCATTGTGTATGTTCACTTGATGATAACCGTAATTAATCCTCTTAAATTTTTGTTATGACTTTTAAATTATGTTTTATTTCTTCAATGTTGTCTATTTTCTATCCACGTGTGTTTACATTCAATTGTGATTGGTTCATTATAATGAAACAATAAATAAAACATTTAACCAATCAAAATTGAACAAAAATATTTTTTTTTCATAAACATTTTAAAATAATTTTTTTCCTTAGGGGTAGAGAATTTTCATTATCATATTGACCATATTATCCTATAGAATCTAAGATAAATTACAATGTGTACACGTGAAAAAGATAATATTCTGATTAGTCAATGAATTTATTTTTCCTACCAGCATTTGTTATAGTTAACAATAGTGAAATCATGAGTCAGTTGAAGCTAGACCATCATGGTAAACCTGGAATCACTGGACTGCCGTTCCGTCCTATTGTGGGACTCCTCAGCAGTGAGCATCCACGACCTCACCCCTCGCGAGATTCGAACCCAGGACCTATCAGTCTAACAATCAAGTTAAAATGACATATAGTGTAGATAACATTTCATAAGTTTAAAAGTTAATTTTTCACAAGTTCTGTCTATCCTAGAGTCGATTCTTGTTTAGGTTATTTATATAAACTATACAACTGTCTAATTGTTGTTTATTTGTAATAGTTGTTTTACTAAAATTATTACTTTGAGGTTGTGGAGATTTAAATCAATTAGTCCCTTTTATCGAACGATGGGATCAGATCAACTCTATCTGCTCATTGTTCTATTGAAGTTGTCGAGATTGCTCAATTCCATCGAATTCATAAATAAATCAATGTTAGAATACCATTGAAAAGGAGAAAGCTCTGGACAGCTGTTTCTTCCTAGTGTGGGACTCTTCAGTAGTGCGTACCCATGATATCGCGCACAGGATTCAAACCCAGGACATCCTGTCTCACCCACGAATGCTTAACCTCTAGACCACTGAGCTGGTATCGAGCAGTGTTAATGATCTTGCACAACTCATCATCCATTGTCTTTAATGGATAACTGTTTTAAACCTGACATGGACACCGAAGGTCCTATGTTCAAATCCTACATGTGCTATTGTAGATGTGAACTGCTAAAGAGTCTCATACTAGGACAAAACTGTCATTCAGTGCTTTCAGGTTTTCAATAGTAGTTTAGCTCACATAGATTCACGAATTTAACTATTAAAATATGGAATATCATCATACCGAATTAAATTCAACCATCAAGAAGTGATCATTTGTATGGTTTCCATCTCGTCTTATTGATTACAAACAATTTCTATTAGAAGTAATATCAATAATAGATAACTTATGTAATCTATTCTGAGAATATAATTACTTTATATCTATAAATATTCTTCTATTTATTTTAATAAACTGTTGCATTGTTCCAGTGTTTCCAGGTTTTCCCATCATGGTCTAACTTCAAATGACTTATAATTTCAACTATTGAAATGATTGCATAAATGTTAAACTTTAATGTTAACAGTTGTGTTTGTTGCCTTTGGCTATAAGAAACAAAAATAAAAGGGGACAATGTTATTATCGTCTGAAAATGATCAAATTGGTTGACAAATAAAATAACTTATGTATTTCAAACAGAGCGCGAACGAGAGAGAGAGAGAGAGAGAGAGTGTGTGTGTGTGAAAGCAAGTGAACATCATCTAACATATAACACCGTCCATTTTAATGTTGAGAAAAAAAACTAAACTGTCTCATTAATATGCATCAATCAGATTAATTGAATTAAAACACTTCTATCTACATTTATTTATTCAATATTTTAGGATGGAATAAGATATTTGTGACAATGTTTTGATGACATTAAATATGTTGATGAAATCTGCATAAATTCCCTTTATAACTGGATCATATAATAACCGGTTAATGAGTTCATGTATGTATATTCGGGACTTTATTATATTTGCTGTTATTTTTACAGGATTTCCTAATTTATAGATAATATTGATTACTGATTTAAATGAAACGACCGTCCAGTGCTTTTAGATATTCCACGATGGTCTAGCTTCAATCAATTCATGAATTCAATTTTTAAATTACTACAATCTCTCTCTGATTAAAATCATTATAAGTTCACTAGTGACTGTCTCCAAGAATTATTTCATGGAGTTCAAATGAGAAGCCGTGACCAGTGGAGTTCAACCGGGTCTGTTGTGAGACAGTAACTCACTGAAGACAATGGTGGATATATCGCTCAATTTTGTGGATTAGTTGAAGTTAGACATTAACACCGTTGGATACGGGCCAGCTCAGTGGTCTAGTGGTTAAGCATTCACACGCGAGGCGGGATCATGGATGCGCGATGCTTAGGAGTTCTACAATAGGACGAAACGGCCATCCAGTGCTTCCGAATTTTCCATGGTGGTCTGGCTTTAATGGACTCATGAATTCAATTATTAAATAATTCGAAATATTCGTCATCGGTTTTAATCTAGTATAAGAGTTCTCAGAAAAGAACTTTTATCTAAACCTTGAGAACTTTTAGACAATTCTCAATCATTTAGAATATTCAGTGAGAATATTCATGGTCAACAATTCCAACCATAAACAGTTAGTAATATAGAGAATAATAATCTAGCGTCATCATTAATAAATATCTTACTCCTAAGGAGTTTTGTATTGAGCTTGGCGAGTCTCCATATAGCATGTGCCTGTGTTTAATTGTGATCCCAAGGGAGATCAGTAAGTGATAAATTACAAATTGAACATACTACTGAAGGTATTCGATTATATCAACTAATCAAGGTCTCAGCCTACATATATATATATATATATATATATATATATATATATATATTAACGGTTTGTTTGTCTATTATTTGGCTTCTCAATCTCCTCGTTAACATTTAAAGAAAGTGTATTCATCTTAATTAAACTTCATGGATGGTAGAAGGATGAAACAATTATTCATTATTTTCTGGTTTTCATTGATAATCAAGATGATGTCTTACATTATCCAATCCTCTGTATACAACTCAATGTAATTTCCCTTACAGATACTTAGAAACCAATATTGTCTAATTTCTTGCAACTGGTTTTATCCTCACTCATCATAATTGAGAATTATTTCAATAAAAATGATCTTGATAAATAAACTTATCAGAAGTGGTTTTTGTGGAGATTGTAGTAATTTCAATAATTTCATAAGTCACTTGAAGCTAGACCACCATGGAAAGTCTGGAAGAACTGGACGGACGTTTCGTCCAATTGTGGGACTCCTCAACAGTGCCCATCCACGATCTCGCCTCGCGAGATTCAAACCCAGGACCTATCAGTCATGTTAGAATGGTTATTTGTAAAGATAAAAGCACACTGTAAAGAATGATATATTATCATCAATAAAATAAAATTATATAGATTAAGTACAAAACAGATGAATTATTCTTTTAGGGTTGAAGAGCATTATGAGTGAGATTATCCAATTTTGTGTTGTTGTTGTTGTTTAGTTAATCAATGCTGCATACATTCTACATATCCGAATTGATCCGTGACTATTAGTACTGAATACACTGTAGTTCAGCTCGGAGTGAAATATCAGATAAAAATTATATCTTACCATTTAGTACTTATTTATTAAATTAACGAAACAATAGCTGGGAGTATTGTATACAACACACTTATTGAACATTGAAAGGGTTCCGTCCAGTGCTTCTAAGTTTTCCATGTTGGTCTTGCTTCAGTTGACTCATGATCTCAACTAATGAAATAAATTTATAACAAACAATAAAAAAATCAGTTCATGACTCCCTTAGGCGAAATAAAATTAATTTCAATGAATCAATTATTCAATATATCGACTAATGAAAAAGGCATCTGGTCTTTTGAGTTTTCTTTTTCTGCTATATTCCCAGATGTTTGATATGATATAAATATAGACTGATGAATGGATAATTGATCCTCACAAATGGCGATGTGAATCAGTAGCCTTTTGGGAATATTCTGATTTATTTTGAATCTCATTTTCATATTACAATATGATGATCAGTAGTAGTGTTGTAAAGGAAGAGTTGATAAGGAAAACCAATTTATAGTTTAATGAGATGTCACTTGCTTTTAAAAGATAACCTGGATAGTTTAATAATGTACAGTGTATATCCGTATATCATAAATACTACTACTACTACTACTACTGTGATGTATATTGCTCATGTTAGTAGTTATAAGTAGTATATAACATTATTCAGAAGTGGAATGCCTGTCTAAAGAGGTTTGAGAAGATTGAACTGAAGGAGAAGCAGAAAGGAATAAGAACAAATGCAGAGTTGAAAGAATCATGGAGGACATAAATGACAACTGATGGAAGGTGTACAAATGAAATATTTAATGTATGGTTTTCATAATTAACTAAGACACTGTAATTTTGCGCCGACATGAATTGGTTTTCCTTAATTGAGTTCTCGTTCACTACACTGCTACTACCACTACTAATAAAAATACTACTACTAATTCTACTGTATTGAGTGGGAACTCTTGTGGAGTAATCGATTTATTGATTAATGCAAAATCACACAATGGATTGGTAGAATATGAAAATCATACATTGAATACGTCATTTGTACATCTTCGTTGCGTTGTCCCTTATACACTCTATTATTCTTCAGTTCTGTTGTTATTTCGATTGCTGTTAGATTTTCTACCTGTTCTCTTCATTACAATCTTGTGCTACCAGATATTCTACTTCCGATTGATGATAAATACAACTTATATCTGCTGATATAAGTAACATACACCCCCAGTAGCAGTAGTAGTATTGTGAACGAGAACTGATGTGGAGACAACCAATTAATTATTTAATGCAAAAGAACACATTGTTCCCTGGTATTATGCGAAAACCATACACTAAATACTTCACTCGTAAACCCTTCATCAATTGTTTCAAACTTCATTGTCTTTATAATTACATTGTGTTTATAGTCCCGTTTTCTTCAATTCTATCTTCACGACCTTTTGCTACCAGGCACTCCACTTTCAACAGGTATTACATACTACTTATGCCTGTTAATATAATTATCGTACACCACAGTAGTA